GGGCAAATCCTGGCGCCAGCCTGGACAATTACTCTTTCCCCATAATCTGCGCTCATGGGTGCGTGAGAGTCCATCACCTCAGCCCCAACCATGTTGGTGCGAACATTTTGAGAATATGAACCTCTGAGTGCCCGGAAATTGCACTCTCATGTACTTTAAAAATCAATAATACATATGAACATATATACAGCAATTATTTTTCACCCTCCCCTGCATCTGCCCTAGAAGTCACCAATTCTAATCGGAGGAATGGGCGAAATATTAGATTGATGTTTAGATCCTGTGATGTTATGTTGGCCATTAACTTTTTTTTAAACATATTATTAAAATATACTTAAATATAAAATGTTTCACACTCAATAAATAGAAATTTAATAAATTCAATTATTAAATTTGGTTTCCACTCTTGTACAAAATGATAAATCACTCTAGAATCGACGAATTTAAAACAACAATATAATTATAGTGTTACGCCTAATAATAAATAATTGCATTATCTTTATGCTCTACGAACTTTCTATAGAACTTTGTGCGTGGAATTTGCTCAGGAGGATGGATCGGTCTCAGGAACCACGGAGGATATTATTCGCCATACAGTTACACTGATGGAACGCCATATGATTATGCGTATGTTAAAAATGAATTTTCCCTTTTCTTCATTTGTATTTATCTGTCTGATATGTTCAAATGAGGTGAATAAAATCATTAGGCCTATAAGCCTATAACGTTTTCATTGCCAATGGGGCCTATACACTGTACGAACAATGTCAATATAAATATTACGTTTTCTTAAACTAGATGTCTATTTAATTATTTTCTTCAGCATTTTCCTGGCATACCTATCGTTAGATAATCTATCTTACCTTCTATGCCCTTATTTAAACATTTGAGGTATAATTACTGTGAGGGAGGCACTTAACAAACAGCATTATTCTAAAGTAAAATACATCGAGATAAATAAAGATTTAAAAATAAAATACAGTAGGCATACAGTACATTATAAAATGCTTTTTTCCGTACATTACATACGGTAACTGGTATTTTGAAATACAACTAGTCTTCTATGTAGCAATTGCTTGTTGTTAGATTTTAGTCTAAGAGAAGCGACTTTTTCACTTTATGGATTAACAGAAACTATGCGAGTGGCCAGCCCGACGACAACGATGGCACTGAAGATTGTATAGGAATGTGGCCTGCATATGGTGACTTATGGAATGACTTTAATTGTGGTGTCTCTAAGTACTATGTATGCAAAGTTGAAGGTAGTCTTTTACAATAATTTTTTTTTAACTTTAAAATTTTGTGACAGTTTTAACATCTCAACTTCTGTTAAAGCATCACACTATTTCATTCTCATGATCATTTATCAGAGATTTTCGGCAATCATAGAGAACTAAGTAATCTCTTCGATGTATCATAGAAAATAAAACCTAAAAACATTGTCTTTGATGTATTTACTTTACTTTACTTTACCTACTTTAAAGCCGTAATTCCGCACCCATCTCAGCCCATCATGGTTGGGACTGAGGTGCAAACTTTTGGAGAAATAGTAACTCTAGATGGCCAGAAATCATCATCAAATCACCACTCTTAGCAGCGATTTTCGGCAATCATAGAGATCTAATTAATATCTGTGATGTACCATAAAAAATGAAACTTAATTGTCTTTGATGTATTTACTTTACTTTACCTACTTCATGTGTTACCAACTTTAAGTTTTTATGCACCAAAGGGTATGATCGTTCATGTCCAAGGTCGCAGCACGCTTATAAGAAATAATATTATTAATAACGATAATTATTAAAATTATTACGTTATATTTTTTTAAGCGTGTAATAATATACCTAACTGTGACGTAATCACATGTATTATTACGTCAAATGTGGCAACTTGTCAGAGATGTAATGGAAATTACGGACCCGCACTTGGCCAGGCGTACCTCAATAAAGGAACATTTTGCGAAGGTATGCAGCCTAAAGAAATATTTTCATATATTATGTTTATTACGCAACATTCATGCTTTTTTATTAAGTTACAATTACCTTCTGTTGCGACTCGGGAAAATTTTCCGTCTTACTATTGCCCCATTGAGGGCAACTAGCTAGTTGGCTTAAAATTAATGTGCAACTTTATTTGGGGTAGTTAACCAGAAGTGCAAAGATTCTAAGTTAGTCCCCCTACCCCGCCAATTTTTTTTTCTCTAGCTGCCTGGAAATTCATAGTTTGCTACTTTTTAGGGTAAAATTCTCTCCGGAATCTGCATTATTAACGTAAGCTGCGCGCGCGGTAACTGGTAGTGCGTAGGTGTTTTTGATGATCTATCCGAAAGCGATTTATAAAACGACACATACACAGTGGTAGGGAGTTTTGTTAACCTTAACTTTAACGTTAGTACCCAACATGCAGCGCGATAGCTCCAGCCCCTTTTGTAAACAAATCGAAATACGCATGCGCAGACCCGTAATTAACGTACGTCGAGCACGTAAAATCTTGAAATTAACGTACTTCGCAATGCAAGATGAATAAATTATGACGTCATCCGTTAAAGTTAAGGTTAACGTCGTGCATCGAAAACTCCCTAGTGTCTAGTTTTGATCTGATCGGAAATATACTTTACGTTAGGTGTCTAGGCTCAATCATACACTTTCGTCGATTTTTTTTTGTATTTCCATCTGTAATTAAACCAATCTTTTAGTGGTCATGAATAATTGTTCTATTATGTCAAATCTAATCGCGATGTCTAACATACTAGAGGGTAAGGGAGCGAAGCGAAAGTTATAGAACCAATACTATTTCAACTATACATAAAAATTTTTTTGTAAAGAGCTAAAAAAATCTGAAATATTAATTTTTTACTTTTTCAAGTCCTTTTTTTTTTATCATTTACGCAATTTATGATTGATAGAAATTATAAAATGAAAAGGCCTATGCCACCATTCTGTTTTCCAAACGTAAATTGAATACTAAAATCACGAAGACAAAAGGAAAATGCTCCGAACTTAACAATATTTTCTACTTTGTTAGAGAACTGTTCATGGCGATCAACCAGCACGATTTGTTACCCAGGGAACTGCCCAGATGGTGAAGACAGCTGTATATGTGAAACAGGTTTCACTGGATATGACTGTACAACATGTGGGTTACTATGTATTATCATATAATAATTATTATTTAATAAAAAAAAATCAATTCAGCTTTGTGCTGCCATGATATTTTGAATAAATGTACCTTGATATATTTGCGTATTACACCTGCTACCATCAATCAGTCAATCAATCAATCAATCAACCAATCAATCAATCAGTCAATCAATCGATGTTCGGTTCTGTCAACGTGTCGATGGGAATTGCATGAACAAAATATTTCAATTAATTGCAGGAAAAGCAGTCTTAGCTATTTTTTCTTGAATATTATTGTGTGGCTACTTTTGTTTTTCGTCAGTTTTTTCTATAATTCATCATGCAACAATATATAATTGGCTAAATCCGTTTTAATTAATGTTTTAAAACAATTATTGGCCTATATTTATTTCACAGTTTAAAACGTGTATTTATATTTTAGAAATTTTACATTTTTCAAAATAATTTTTCAAGTGAAATTCTAAACTATACTGTCATACTAGTTAAAGGCTTAATACTGTGCCTATACATTTCTACTTAGTGGTGTCGAGTGAGGCGCCAAGTTACAACTTCTGTCTTACTAAACTCCATCATGGATCTGGGGGTACAGTCGAACTAAATTGTATTAATGAAGGCCAAGTATCTTACACCAATCAGCCGGGTTTAACACTTCTTGAAAATGATTGGAGGAGTAGCTACACACAACCAACGGTGACGTTTCCACCATATATTACCAACTTTAAACTTGGAATGGTAAGAGGAACCACCATAGCAACGATATATAACAATGGTAAATATAAAAATCTTGTCAGTAATATCATATATGCATACCTCAACATACCAACTCAAACATCACTTAATTTTGTTTTGTTAAAGTATAATACATGCATTAAAAAATAGATAATGTTTTATTATGAACTTTACATAAAATTACCTTAAGCTGGTACAGCGTCAAGAGAAGTTGCAAGGATTGCTTGCACTGACAGCGCCACCAGAGACTCTCCAAATCAAGCTTTGTATCAATGTGCCGATTCAAGTCCAATCAACTTATCAGGATGGACTGTAGCACACAGAGATAGGTAAATTTAATCTATTCATGCCACTAAGGAAAGTAGGTTAAGTGATCAAGGTTGGAAATAAAGGGGAATTCCCTATAATTTATAGCGATAGTGTGACTTCGCAAGGAGACTTGTGTAAATAATATAGTTAAAAATATTTCATCGGTAATAAATTTACCAAGCACAATTTTGATGTAAACGATATAGTTCATAACAACTACAATAATTATAAAAAGAATACTTACTTGTGCATAATATTATAAATTATCATTTATTATTGTTATTAATTATTATTATTATTATTTTGATATAGATATAATTTTATAATAATAATAATAATAATAATAATAATAATAATAATAATAATATCAGAATGTACTGTTCTCCTATTATAATAAGAAACAAACTTTCTGCAATATAGAATTGACGTGCAAATTGAGATTGAAAATGGTGGTTACGTTACGGTAAATAATCCAGACACTTCTTCACAATTCAAAAAGTACTACACTGGGATTACATTGAGGAGAACGGGAAGTTTTACCTTTGATTTGATGGACCCTTTGCATTGCTTACCTACCGGAGGATGCTCAATCCCTATTTTTACCTGTGGTAATGACGTTACAAAACGAGTAAGTAGGGCCTACCTTCTGAATGCTATTAGGATTGGTTAGGAGATTAGGAATAGTTAGGATCCTTTGATTGTTTTTGTTTCTTCAGTAATATACAGCTATTTGTTTGAGATCGAAGAAATTTAAAGGCAGAAAACTGTGGATTACAAACTTCACTTGACCTGTTCTGTTGATGGTGACGATATTTAAGGCAGATCAAGCTTACAGTATTTGAATGAAGAGCCCGTAAAGTATATTTATTCCAAATTGCATTACTTGTTTTAAGTTTAATCTACCGTACTTTATTAATATGATTATTGATAAGATAAAAGTATGTAAAGAAATTCAAATCTTATCTATTTTAAAAATAATAAATAATAATAATAATAATAATAACTTTTAAAAATAATAGTGAAAAAAATGCTGGGTCGGACCGAAAACGGTGAAATTCTAACGAGTAGTTTTGTATATTTTATTTTCTTTCTTTGTGAAACTTTTCTTGACATAAGTGTCTCGTAGGTCTCTCTTCTTAGTGTTCCATGCTCATGGTGGTTTGAAATTAGTTTTCATTTTAAGCACATTATGCTGCACAACGTTGTTGTGTGATCAGAAACTTCATACTTGAGTCAGGAAGCCTGTGGGATTCTGTTGAGTTAGTGTCACACTAAAGGTGAACTGAAATGATGAGGCATAATGGGGTAACAGACAAATAATAGTACACTACAAAACAAGTTAAAATATAAAAGTAAAAGTCTTTAATAAATAGAATTCAATGCATCTTCTGTTGCCCTCAACAACATAATGGTTCTTCCCGACGGTTTATCGTTGCACATATAACGTAACTACTCAAATCCCATGGTATCGGTCAGTAACACCGCATGCACAGGTACAGACACAGGTGGCACTATAACAAATAAAATCAATTGTCTAATAACCACCATTCTTTTCATTACAATTAATCATTAATGAAGCCTATGATAATTATAACAATTTACTAATTAGTAAAACAAAATATAATTACAATGAACATTTAAATTGAGGGCTGTCTTGACGACACCTCCCTTACGTGACCATAAGTAGTTCGTATCGTTTGAGGTGTGTCGCATGACTTAGCCGCGCGCATATTTGTTTTTATACGGCGGTACACATCACACATTGATTACGCTAATTAAGGTCATGCTTAATTGCTTCTCTTCTAAATACGCAAATTATAGCGCTAGATGATCGTTTTAACCGTGACAGTTAGAATGAGCCTTTATATGTTGCAGGAAGTGAGTACAAAACGAAACAAAGAAAGCAAACACATCGGATTGGATGGAAATTGTCATTTTTATTTAATGCCTAATATATAATTAACTCAACATTTTATGGAATGGGAACGTAAGGCTGCTCTTAAAAAATATTATATATATATATATATATATATATATATATAATATAAATCATTAAAGGTACATATACAGTGTTTAAATAAGGACATGATGGAACATCGTAGGCTACCCTGTAGCTTTTCAACGAAGGACTTTTATTCGTTGAAAAGCTACAGGGTAGCCTACGATGTTCTATCATGTACTTATTTAAACACTGTATATGTACCTTTAATGATTTATATTATATATATATACAAGAAGTACCTTGATTTATATTTCAGTGTATGCTATTATTTTTTTCTAGCCGTACTTATTGTGTAATGGAGTGTATCTGGTGGTATTTGAATCTGCTTAACCATGAAGCCTCCGTGGTCTAATGGTTATGACGCTCGCCGCGCCTTGACAGCGAGAGGTCGCAGGTTCTAGGTTTTAGTGTTGTTCGGTGATGATGCAGCTACTCTCTTCTCAGATACGAAGTGCTTTTCTAAGGTCATCGAGTCCCGCCAGAGGCATTTTATTACACAATTTCTTTATTCATTTATTTACAGGAATTTTTTTTTTAAGATTCAAGATTCACTCAGTCACGGGTAGTTACGAAATGAAGTTTGTTTACTTACATTGGATTTATTAATGAATAAACCCAATGATAAAATGAATTTAACACAATATAACTAAATATTTATTCAGATACACTAAGATCACCTACATATATTATTATTTATTATTATTATTATAACTATTATTTTTATTGCAAAGTTATGTATATATCATTATGTTGTGCATGCTTAAACTACTACTGCTACTACTATTACCACTATCACTATCATTACTACTTCCACTACCACTAGGCCTACCACTACCACCACCACCACCACCACCACCACCACCACCACCACCACTACTACTACTACTAGGGACGTTAAGTTAAATAAACAAATTCTATTTCGTACATGTTGGTATGTTGGTACAGTAGATGTACGCGTGATATTCCCTAAGACCTAGGCCTACATTATTTTGTAGGCTAATTATTATTTATTTTAAATTTATTTAATGTTCTTTTTAAGATAAAAAGGGGGGTCCAAGTCTGCGGATGTTTCACCCTATATTTGCCATCTGCGGTCTCAGTTTGTTTACTTGACGTTTAAAAATGCACAAGTACAATATATAGGTACAGATAGGCCTGTAATTCATGAAAAACGATGACAATAGTTAAATAATGGTGACGATAGACCTAATGATGATGATGACTACGAATAAACTGGCCTATAATAAACATAGTTGATTTCTCGTGACCAGTGGGACTTGTTTTCTATTATACTGGCGTTACTCATCTTAAAAAGATACTAGACCTGCTGGAGCGTTGCTTACCTCGCATTGCAGGTATCAAAACCGCTCTAAAAATTAATATTCATGATTTTATTGCCGAATCATATAGCGCCACCAATCGACACTGCCTCAAACGTCCAGGACAAAAATTTCGCGGGCGGGCCGGCCACTGATCACTGCCATAATAGCTGTTATAATAGCGATCAGTGGGGCAAACAAGACGCGTCTTTGTAGGGGGTTGTTATTGTGACTATATAGTGTCACTATAACAACTCCCTGGTCTTTGCAAGGCATATTACAATCAATATTAACCACCACATGTATCATCGTTGATTACACCTATTAATTATGCTCTGATGTTCTATATCGGTATACAGATAAGTGGGTAGCGCTGTAGCAGTGTAGGGTTCTCACTGGATAAAATGTCACCCACGTTTCCACGTTCGGGCGGCGATTTTTTTTTTCCGTACGAAACATTTGCATGAAACTCCACTCGGGCTGTCTCGACTGACTCGACTCGAAAATCTCAATTCTGGAGGTCAAAAGGTCAACCAAAGATAAACGTCTACAAAACTTCTGAGATACAGCATTGTCGCTCGCTGTCTGATTTTGAAGAACACATTGACGTTTATAATACTGTACATACTCCAAGTATCGAAATGCACGCCATCGTGTCGGGATTCAATATTTCGACATTAATTATGTCATCATCAGGAATGTACGGAGCCCTCGAATTCATTCGTTCCCTCGAAATAATATTTCGTTCCCTCGAAATAATATTTCGTTCCCTCGAAATATTATTTCGTTCCCTCGAAATATTATTTCGTTCCCTCGAAATATTATTTCGTTTTCTCGAAATATTATTTCGTTCCCCCGAAATATTATTTCGTTCCCTCGAAATAGTATTTCGTTCCCTCGAAATAATTTTGAGGGCGCCCTTATAACTTTATGACTAGCTCTCACATCTTTCCTCTCACTCTCTTGAGCAGATGCCTGCTTTTTTCCTGTCATAGTTATTTTAAAGGGATATGAAAATGGATGTAGACGAAAGGAATTTATGCTGTAGTGACTTTTTAGTAAACTTTTTAGGACAGATCGTATATTCATTTTCATCTTTAGATCATGACTAATCGCATCATTCTCTTATACCGGATTTAATCGATATTACAGGGAGTTAACTGATAGGCGATAACATAACGTTTAACCCCCGAGGGGCATAGACACAGAATGTATGTGAATGGTTTGATCATGAGTTGATGTGGTAGCATTGCGTGTGCGAAGGTGGGGCTCGGAGGTTAATTGAGGGGCGTTAACTTGCAAAATAAGGTGATTTTTAAATACTTGCAAGTGAATTTCTATATGCCTTTCCTTGTGTTTCAGCTGGAGGACTAAAATACAAGTTACAATAACGCACCATCTTTACTGTCCTGTGTGCATTTATGGTCCATGTACACGTTAAAGAGCAGTGACACTGTTTGAAAAAAGAGTAGGGGATGATCTCCCGGTATACCGCCCATCCACCACCAGAAGGACCCCACTGGAAATAAGTCTTCTTCTAGACTTTCGTGGGGGAAACATTAATGAGGAACATGTTACGTGACAATCAGTCATAATGCAAAAAATGTCCAAATGAATCATTGTATCTCCCCCAAAAATAGAATACAGACTGCTCAGGGAATCCTGTAACAATTTGAAAAAAAAAAAGAATTATGTAAAATAATACTTGCAGACGAATTATAAGATAATGATGATATTGCGTCAGTATAGTTCTTTGTAAGGGGGAAGATTATAAGTAGACTTTTCACGTACAGTTCAGAGCAGGTACAGTGCACACCTGTTAGAAAAGTTTCCATCAAAATGTATCGCTCAATCATATGGTCAAACCTCAATTTAAAGACAATGAGTTATCTTAATTCTTAATAAAATATCTTAATGTTCATAATAATAATGTTAGTCATAATAATAATAGTAATAATAATAATAATAATAATGTTCATAATAATAATAATGAATATAATGATAATAATAATAATAATAATAATAATAATAATAGTAATAACAATAATAATATTAATAAATAATAATAAAAATAAATAAAAATAATAATAATAATTAAATAAAAATATATAATTTCGCTATTAATTAACTTGGCTTAAGCCTTGATCAAGAAGCACTTACAGTACAATACTATTTACTAGGCCTATAATTAACAACTAGGCCTCATTCATTGGTGCTCTGCTATTTTGGCAGGTCCAATGATGTCATCCTTATTATTTTTAGAGCTGTCTATTCTCAGCTTTTCTTTTAATGTCAAAATAACTGTCACCCTGTTTCATTTGATCAATTAAATGCTATTCTTTTCCTTCC